CTCTCTCTCTCTCTCTCTGTGTGTGTGTATATACTTGCACGTGAGAGGCACAGTGGAGGTGGAGATCAAAGAAGAATGAGAAATTTAATGGTTTCAATCTGCCCTTGTTCTTTCTTTTTGTTTTTTATTTTTGCATGTTATCACTGTGCCCGTTTTTTGCTTTTATTCTTTGTTCCGCAAAGTGCGCTCTTTTAGTTTGTAGTGATGTGACAATATATAGCCCCTCGTTTGTTGTCCTGTTCTCTCTCTCTGCCTACGGTTTACCGGGCAGTTCTGTTTGTGACGATATATATAATATATTGTCACATAACTACAAACTAAAAGAGCGCACTTTGCGAAACAAAGAATAAAAACAAAAAACGGGCACATTGCAAAAATAAAAGCAAAAACAAAAACAAAAAGCAAGGGCAGATTGAAACCATCAAATTTCTCATTCTTCTTTGAACTCCACCTCCAGTGTGCCTCTCACGTGCAAGGCTCGCCACGTTGATGAAGTTGAGCACGAGCTGCCCCCATCCCCGTATGCCATAACAGCCCACTTGCACGCTGTGAGAGAGGCAGAGTGAAGGGGAAGGTGTTAAACACAGGGAAAAGAGAGAGAGAGGACAAACAAAGAATGGAAGAGGGAAAATACGGAGTGTAGAATGAGGAAGAGGGCAAAGGAAAGGGCAAGAAAAAGCTCAAGTATGAGGCTGTCTGTTACATACTTCAATGAGTATGGGCAGAACCAAAGATCAACCAATATAGGATGAGCATGTATGCAGCGGAAGTCTGATAACGAACTGACTCACATAGACTGACTCACATAGCATCACTCCACACACATACAATCGTGAGATGGTGGGGTCTGAGCCATACAAAGAAGGTGCTCAGCCCCGTACACGACCTACACAGATGAATGGGGGAGGAGAGACGAAGGAGGTGGGGTAGGTAGACAGCACTGAAAGTCACCGAGATAGAATCTGATAGGTCACCGATATGGTAGTCCAAAATGTCATCCAACAAGATCAAAGTGTCGAGGACGATAGGTCACCAATGTCGGAGGTACAGAGTCCAAATGTAACCGGTGTCAGAACTGTGATGCAGCCGAGTATCAGCCCCAACAATCTCCAAGTCTCCAATCAGGTAAGTACCACAGTCTCATATCACCGAAGTCCAACTCTGATCTCTGTCCAACTGGATAGTCTCCAATCTGAAGAAGAAGAAGAAGAAGAAGAAGAAGAGGAAGAAGAAGAGGGAGGAGAAGAAGAGGAGAGAGAGAGAGAGAGGGGACTGGCGAGGGAGAGGAGGAGAGATCCTCCA